GGGGGGGGGGTGGGGGTGTTAGACATTGATCTACCAATCTTTAGTCCCGAGCAAGCTCTCAAGCCAGTCCCTTTGCTTCGCAAAGCAAACTCAAGGTAGTCCTTACCAGGCTACCTTTCGTGATATATAGCTGTGCTACTGCCTCCTGCTTTATGCAGCTGTTTCCCAGTTGACCGGTAACTCCTCCGCCACTCATGATGCACCCCCACTCCGGCAAGCTGCCTGCGACTCCGCTTAAGCGGCGGCCGGCAAGGACAGCTTGGAGCCGCAGGGCTTGGCCCTCCTCACCTGAGCCATCTGAAGTGGTGGGGGCTCAGCGATAGTCAAGGCCTTTGCTCTTCGGCGTCGTTTGGAGCAGTGAAAACTATCTTTCTGATGTACTTAAGTGCAAATGGAAGGCTCGAAGGAGTCTCCATCTACGCCCTCTTAGTGGTTTCAATCGGAGGGTCCTGGCACAAATTGTCTTAAACCTTTTCTGAAAGCCCTAACTTGAACGGTTGAATAGTGACTTGAGATCACATCTCAACACTCACATCTCAAAACAATCCCCGCATATCCCAACATATACAATAAATTGCAATCTAAATCTCCTATCCACGGCCCACCCCCCCACATGACCCGCAGAAGCTGCCGCGTGACCGGGTGGCAGCGGCACGCCTTCACCTTGCGTCAAGCCGTCGGAGGAGCCGGTCACCACTAAGCTGATCACCTACCGACCGATCCGTCGGAGGAGCCGGTGACGGATCGGAGCGACCGAAGCGATGCGGCCACGCGTGCGCACCCGTGCGAGCTCACGCACGGGTCGGCCGAAGAGCGTTTGGAAAAAGCCGATTCAATTGATCGTTGAAATCGTCTAACTCTCAAAGGCTCCGTATTGTGATATTGTATATCAATGTTTCGTGCGTACCAGTATGAGGTGTCCTTTTGCTGGTGGTTTGGATGGAAGCATCTTTTGGGAGCCATTGATTGACTGATATTGACTGTGTGGGACTCGACAATGGGGGTTGTGCCGTTTGCATGGTTGGCAAAAGTGGGCACAAGTCTAAGTTGGTCGGTCGGTCAACAAGGCGGCATTGAACAAAAAACCATATGCCGATAAAAGATGGAACCAGTGAAGGCAAACAAACGTTGTAATTTGGCACTTTGGAAGTCCTTCCTTGTTTCAAGTGCCCAATTGGCAAACTGGAGTAAACACTGGAGTCAACGCGAGTCGCCGGAATGGCCAGTGCTGGTCCTCCGCCCGGAAAGCACCCTTCGTTGCTGTTCCGAACGACAAAGCGACGTTGCCTGGACCATCCTGTCTGGGTGTCCTGGCTGGACTATCCACAACCTCTGGATCTGGAGAGCCAGGACAGTGACGATCGATAGTCCAGGAACCCACCAGTTGAACAGGTGGGACATGGTGGGACTCATTACACATCGAGGGTATGTTCATGATTGAAACGCTTCCGCTTCGACTACAAAGAATCAGTGTCTTATTCGGGACATGACCGTACCTTTCCATCAACCCCCAAGCCGCTCTCCCAAGCCCAACCCTGTCGCGACGTCTCGGGACCGGATGTCTCGTCCCTCGTCCCTGGTCCCCACCGGCGCACCTGCGAGGCCGTGCCCTTGCTGGCCGTGGCCAGCTGTCGCCGCTGCTTCTCCGGAAGCATCAGCCTCGGGTCGATCCATCGGGATCCATCTCTCCCCCGGGTGCTGGCTTTCCAGCACCAGAAGTCAAGTCACCAAGTCGACGACCAGGTGAAAGTCGATTCTGGTAAGCCAAAACATGCCAAAACCAACACTTTTTGAAGATCCCTTCGAACCCAACCTACAAACGAGACCGAGAAGGCCACCACCAAGGATCTCCTGGTCAGTTGCACTATACTTATTTGATCTTATTTGTGGATCTCGATTGCATGGAAGCGTTGTAGCTTCTTAGTCACATGACACCAAGAATGAGAGATGCAAGAGCTGCCCTTGGAACCACCCACAGAGTTTACACCTCGACGACACTGAAAAGAGATAGCTAGGTTGATTCATTATCAATCCTTGATTGTTCAACCAACCGTCACCACTACGACATCTTCAGTGATTAAGTGGGGGGCCTCCTGCCGTCCTTGCAGCAGAAGTCTGTATTTTTGTTCAGCAGGAACATGGGACTGTCAAAACCCCACGTCTGAACTTTTGGGATTTGCAGTGCACATCTCTGCTTGACAAGTCATTATATAATTATCTTAATTGCATCACCAAACATATATGTTCCATAACGCTACTGTGTTCCATTGCCATTCTATCCAAAATCCTTTTGCAGTACAAGCTGCAACATCCAAAACACCAACATGACGAGTACACCACAATACTGTCAACCCCAAGAAAAACTGCTTCCCATGTTCCTCACTGTCACTCTCTCACCCTCCAACCCGAGCGACGTCAGCTCCTGCGATGCCTTGGCCGCTGCTGCCCGGCCCAGTGTGCCTAGCCCGCCCGCGAAGCGCAAGGAGGTCTGGGTCATGGGCGCCTGCGATCGGATGTCGGTGAGTTGAAAACACCCAGCCTCTTGTGGATCCCCAGAATTCCACAAGTGCAAGAGGTAGAATATGGTATATCGTAGATTATAATCATGTATTATGGTAATCATCATGTTAATCGTTTTGATAATGTATCCAATGATTCCAAAGACTCAAAGTCTGGAATTCAAGAGCCCCTGGGTCCTTGGGCTTAATATATATCCAACATTATCCAACCCTTTTGACTCACTTGACCAAGGTTGGAGGCAGCATCAACCACCACCTTAGCCAAACAGCCCCACTCTACTCAACCGAACCACCTGGGCCGAAGCACCCTATCAACCACCTTGCAAACGTAATCTTTGTACCTCCAGTTTCTCACCGTGTCACACACTGCGCCCAGCTGGCGAGTGCGCCTGAGTAGCTGGCGTAGCAGCCCAAAGCCCTGCACCCAGCAGCGTCGACTCCTCTGCGCCGCGCGCAGCCCGCGCACGCGCCGCGGGAGTGCGCCCCGGCACTGCTGCGGAGAGGTAGGCGAAGGAATAGCCGGGCCTGGAAGCGCTAGTGAGAAGAAGCCCGGATCCACTTGAATGGAGCCAAGAAAGGGGATTGAATCCGATGCAGCCTGTATCCTTGAAATGGATTTGAGTTCTGTCTTCACCGACCGACTCTCGCCTGGGGAAGGAGTTGTAATTGCTCTCAGGCTTCAAGGTATCCAGTGCTATTGATGCACCAGAAGCGCCCTCCCACGGCTCAATCATTGTCTCGTCCCACAGCACTTTCTCAAAAAGCCATCCTCAGAACGATCTGCATCGCAGCACCTTATTGAATAATAATTGTTGCTGTATATTGACAAATACCTGGACCCTCCAAAGTACGACATGACCCCTTTTTGAAGGCAGGTACTTGTATACCTGCCTTACCGTATACCCGTTTTCGAGGTACTTGAGACTCCAGGTATTGACAGATATTGACAGTCCCTTGCTAAAACACATTTTGACAACCTAATTCAGGGACCCAACCTGTCGGACCTTGCTTGAGAGTACAGTATAGAAGCTTAATACGCTGGATATTTCATCGACTCATCGACCTTCATCTTGGCTGCTCGACGGCCTCAAAATCACCTCCAAGGAGTCCACCTTGGATTTTGACGCCTCAATCCACTTCCCGTCCCCACCAAATCTGGGATGTGCTCGCACCCTCGCGAAGCGCGAAGCTCTCGGGCTCTCCCCATCTCTCAACCCGTATCATCTGCAGGTCTCCGGTGTACATCTCCTGCTTCGTCTGTGTGGCGCCGATGGCGGCGGACAGCGCGGCGTAGATGCGCAGCTGGCAGCGGCGCAGGCTGGGCAGCGCCACGCGCTCCCAGCCGGTGGGTTTCTTGAGCGCCTCAGCGGTGCGAAACGGACGCCCTCGCAATCACCGTGGATCCCATGGGAATCACAACACGAGCATGTCCAAAAGCCCAAGCCAGTTCGTTGATGGAACATGAACATGCTTCTTATCGCCGGCAGTCACCCCACATACTTGAAGCGCCTGAGGTGTGGTACCTCCGCTTAGAGGGTCTGTCATGATCAGTCAGTCCCTACCTCCAGCATTGGAGGTGGGTTTGGAGGTGGATATTGTTGCAAATTGACCTATATACATGATGATTGGTGACCGGTATGCTTCAACAGGAAGGAACAAACACTGAACAATCTTAAACATATGTTGGTTCTGCCTTTACCATCCTTTACCTACTCAAACTCTGCTCAACAGACTCGAACCAACTCAACTCATCGGCTCCAAATCGACTCCGGGGTCGTTACCCACTGCTTCGAGCAGCTCGCTTGGCGATCAGGATGATGTCCCTGCAGCGGGAAGCGGCGATGAATTGGGGGAACCCCACGAATTCCACACGAAACCAAACAAACTCTTGTATCCATCTCAGAACCAACCAAGTCTTTTAGGTGTAAACACATGCAAAGACCGAAGACCTGTTCCATGATGTTGATAGCCCCGCTACTCAAACACATTCGACCTCATTGCGCCGGTCTGCGCCACTTGGCGCGTGTTGAAACACAAAAGGAAACAGTTGGAAGCAGAAGTTCTCCACCCAACAGGTGCGAAGGGACAATCTAGAAACCCAAACCCGGCCGATGGAGGGCATCGCAGCAGTAGTTGGAAACTTGAGGCTGTGATTCTTGCTGGGATGGTAGCCGTTTCTAACAGGGTTGAGGAGGGTATAGGTATCTGAAAACAATTGAAGGGAGTGGTTGATCTCACCAAAGGCAATTTAAGGCAATAGGCCCAAAAATTAGGCAATGGTAGCAACTCGCTTTGATGATCTTTGAGGCATATATATATATAGACACATGGACGGAATCACTGCAGAAGCCTACTACACTACCTATGCCTGGGCCTATAGTATAAGTTCCCCACAAAAGAAGGGCACAGTTTTCACTACCCTCAGTAAATACTCAATTTTCTGAATGTCTAGCACGTCCTCCCTGGTTCCAACCCAAACACCGGAAATTACCCCCCAACTCCGGAACGTCTAACTTTGCGCAACTTTGCTCCTCACCTGGAGGGGCTACTTTGGAGCTCCGGCATGATCTGCTCCTTCAGCTGATCAGGCGCCGTGCGCACGAAGAGGACTTCGATCATGCCGTAGATGCCGGCCATCTCCTTGGAAATCATTCCGGTGAGAAGAGCGCACCGGTGCCATTCCGGAGGAGGTTGTTGGTGAGCACAATGGACATGGTGGGTTAAAAACATTGCGAAATTGCATGCAAAAGTGTCTCTTAAATAGATGTTATCAAATTAATATATACTTGCACGATCATGACCCCACATCTCTTCCAGGTTTCCAGCTTCGCACCATCGTCCAATCTGCCGTCCTTTTTTTTCACGTGTCTTCGAAACACGTCGACCGTCCTGGACTTTGAGGTTCAAGGCCTCGACGTCGCGCATCCGCAGCTGGGCGAAGCTCACATCCGGATCCGCATGCCTCGTCCGCATCTCCGACGAAGTCAAGCGGTCGTCGGTGACGGTGTGGAGAGTCCGATGGAGTCCGATGGAGTCCGATGGTTTTTGGGTCGCACATTTGGGGTATAAGGCAATTCACCCCGGTTTGGTGAGTGTACCTAATGTCCATCCCCTCATCCGATACGGACCCACGATTTGCAAATCCTCCACACTGCCCGTATCCTGCCTATTTGCAGCAAATACGGGGGGGGGGTAAACCCATACGTTAACTTGAACGGAGGTCTTGACGCTCCCCATACATCGAATTGGATGGGGGTTTAAGGAGCTGGACATAACAAAGAGAGTATGTGCAAATGTCACAAGTCTTAAAGAGTCATTTTAAAATCAATGTGTTTTATAATGTACTTGATATGATTTGATCGTATTAATAGTGTTTTGTTAATCCTCACAAAGGATTGGAATTCTGACCATCCTTGGGCGATCAATTGCAGTTGAGACAGACTTGAACTGGGTTGTCCAACAACGTGCACCACCATGCACCACCAGTGTTTGTATGTTTTTAGTGAGTGTGCACCGTTCCTCTCGAAGGAGGACATTTATGGACTGCCTAAGAAAACACATCACAAACGCTGTACTTTTTTGTTGGTTGGGGAGGTTTTATTCAAAGCTTTATCTGCAGCGAAGGCGCTGCACGAGGAGTGACCAGTGGGCCAGCCAGCATTCCTTGCCTTGGAGGATGGCCATGGCGGCCATGTCAGAAGGTGACTTCCCAACGTGCTGTATGACATGTATGCCTTGTATGCCACAGGTGGCACAAAACTTCCGTGATTTGAACAACGTTGAACAACTGGCCAGGTATTCCTACAGAACCGAGTCCTGCCTTCAAATGTCCTAACCTGGCAAAGGTCATACAAATCCCGTAGAAGACTTCAAACAAGGAACATGCAGGACGTATGCAATTTTCGAGGCTTTTCAGCGTAGTGAATCGCAGGTGCTACCGCAGGGACTCAGGACCGCCCTGTCGCCCAGTGACAGCTTTGTGGTGACGCCACCAAGTCCCACAAGAGCGGCAAGGCCAACTTCTCCATAATGGCGAAGCGGATGTTCTCCGTGAGCCTCAACGCCACGTCTTTTTCGCAGCAAGCTTCAAAAAGGAGGGATCACCAAAGCCCCCAATAATTATGCATAAAGAAGTGGTGATGATGATGAAGATGATGAAATCATCACCTATTAGGGAGCCACAACAACTAGGCCCTAGACATGACGTGGATCCCTCAAATGGCGAGACCTCCACATTGAATTTCAATGTTCAGTCTAAAAGACTCTCAAGCCATACAGGAGACATGTTGCACTGCTGGAAGCTGAGGGATCTCTAAATATTGCTTGCCAAAGCCAAAGTATTGTATAGTTGTAGTGCAAGCACCTCTTCTAGATGTCACATCACATGGAATGTCTTTCGTCCATGGGGTGCTGGGCTAGCTCTGTGGCACCAATATCTGTTTGCTACTCTGTTTGCTAGTAAGTACTGGAGAAATCCTCCTCACCGCAGTTTTGCGCTCCAAATCCCTGGAGCCTGTCATCCAACGACTGATCCAAAAAGATTCGGAGCAAAGCCTTCAGAGTCTCCTGGCGACGCAGTCTGAGCATGAAACTGATTTGCGGTTGTGTCTGGAGACCCCCTTACAAGACTTTCTGGAAGAAGACAAATAGACCACAACCCATTGGTGGGAGCGTCTCTCTATTAGGGCATAGGGCATATGCACCCATTGGTTGGACAGGCTCCTCCGGGTGGAGACGGTTGATTCGGTCCGGTCTTCGGTCTCCAACTTGGCTTTGCGCGTCACTGGACGGTGACCGCGGTGTTCTTCCAGTTCATTGACCGGTGGTGTCTACGGTTTCCGCACCCGTGGATGGGAGAGTGAGTTCCATGAGGAAGCACTGTACGAAAGAATAGTACACTTAATCCAAATAGAGTGATATCGCAAGCCTCCAGGTGGTCGGCACAGATGTCTTCCCAGAACTTGGATCGTTGCGATTCCCCGGGACCGCTATGGACCGCTTAAAAGCCCTTGGGACCGCTTAAGGAGCAACTGCGAGTTACTCTCCAAGCCAGGTATATGATCGCTCGATTTACTCTCCCCTTCCAAAAGGGAATCGAAGACCACCCTTGGAATCGGCAACATTCAATCGAGTAGACTCATGAATTCATCAAACAACGAGCACAAGAATGTAGCACTCCATGTCCGGCCTGTGCCCGTACCGTGCCGTCCGTCCTGGGCCGCGTGGTGCCGCTCCAAGAGGTGCTTCACAAAGCGTCTTACGAAGTCACGCAGGCGCACGGCCTCCCGGTGGTCGTGGACCCGTAAGGTGCTGTGCAAGGCCGGCAGCCTCGGTTCCGAGCGCCCCCTGTAAGGCGGCCGGGCGGAAGAGAGCGTAGTTGTTTCGGGTCGATCGATTCGATAGGTTTGCACATTTATGTTTACAGCCGTGGTAATTGCCACCATTGGACATTCAATACTAACCTGAGTGGAAGTCGAAGGTAACGCTTTCCGCTCTTGATATGTGATACCTTCCAACATGGGCTGTAGTGCTATCTTAGCAAGCTCTTGTACATCCACAACCTGAATCTCGCATCAGTAGGAACTCCGCCTTGCACACTACGTGTCAGTTTCCAGGTGACCTCCAGGTGTCAACAATGATCAAGTCTTGAATTCACATGAGTGTGTAGGGACGAATACGGAGACCCTGAAAGACCAAAAGACAATAAATTGTGTTGTGGGGGCCACCCTGTTTGAAGACACTCCCACATTTCTGCGAAAGATCCGTACTGGGATCATCTCACCTTCAAAAGAATCCAGTCTTCTTGACCAAAGAAACGCTGGGAAAATCTGAACACCATACCGTCCCTGAGTCTCTCTAACAAAAAGTCGCCACATGTGATCAGTATTGCATCCAACAAAGCCTTCAATCGTGAAAGAATCGTCTTTGACATCCGCTGTGCCATAGTCTGATAATTATATGTTGTATACTTACACAGTCAAACCTATAGGTTCAAAATCCAAACAAGAAGCCAGTAAAGTGTGTCACAAGACTTTGGAATCCATTCTACAAGTATCGCGAGGACAAACATGACGGTGTTCCGCGTTCGGTTCAGTCGCCGGCTCAGGCGAAAAAGGCTGTGACGCTCCTCTTTGCCAAAACACAATCGCATGGAGGGGGCCGAGCGCTCGAGGGAGCGGAAGAGACCCTCGAGGAGAATGAGGTAGGTGGCGTATTCGTCCGCCGAGCGATGATACTCTCGAGAGTTCAAGGGGAAGTACTTCCTGAGTGCAGAAACTCTAGTGGAGAGGATGGGTGGAGATTCTTCTTGAAAGCTGAGAGGTGCTGACATGTGTAAAACACCTTGGTCTCTATACTTTGTGTTTTTTGACAAGTCCACACATTGACGTCTTAAACACTTGGGTATTCCTGAAGGTCGCGAGAGATACCGCACACCACCCGGGTCGAGGTTGACCTGGGTAGCACCTTCCGCAGATCTCTCACTCTGGTGCGAACACCCTGGGCCAACCCGGAGGAGTTGAGGAGTCAAACCTTCTGAGAGTGGAGCCCTAAGGAGTGTAGATCTTGGTTGAAGAACTGATCGTGTGCATCTACTATCTTCTAACTAAGCGCTGGCAAATGCAGGGCTTGGCCTCAAATCAAATTCCAGGGTGTGATCCTCAGATTCCTTCACCGGTCACAGCGACTTGCTCTTCGACTGGATGTTTACACCAGTCTCCGCTTCGTCCCTCCCAAAAACCATATCCAAAAGCAAACAGATTCGATTCGATTCGGACCAGATCATGCCAGTCGGAGCGACAGCTGGCACCTGACCCCCCCCAAACATGGAACATTCCGAGCGTCGTCACCATCTCCCGGACGCTGTGCTCCACGGACTGTGCTGCCGAGCACAAAGCAGGGAAGCCGGGGCTGTCCGGAGATGCCAGCATCTGCGAGAGCTGGCTGGGAGCTTGGATACTTGGAGATCCAACATGATACTCAGGTTGGTATACTTACACGTAGGTATAGCAGAGCAAAGTGTGACCTCAAATATGTTCAATCCAGCAAGGTTGGATCCTTGTTTGTCAAGATTGGTCAAGGCATATGGAGTAAACATATTAGATCTGAATTGCAGGTTCCCACTAAGTTTTGAAACAAATTGAGCTTTCCATGTGCCCAAGCCACAAGTAAGTTGAGTGTTGAGATGCCACATCAATGTGATTGAACGCCTGATCTCTTGCAGTACTCTATACTTGAGATCAGTCGCTGGAGTCGTTGGAACAGGAGACCATCCGATCCCAACTGTGTCTTCATCTACACATGCTTGGTACTTGCCATTCTTCTGAACATCACGCATGAGTCTATGCTATCAGGATTTGAACCCTTCGGCAAACTAGCCAGTGAACCCACGCAAAAAGGTCTTGTCTGAGTTGATGGAAGGGAGAAGTATGCAATTTGACTGAGCAAGCAAATGAGTCCATCTTCTCAATCAGTGACGTGGTACAATCCAAGAGGCTGGTACGTCTCAACACGATCCTGAAATACAATGAAACTTACCAAGCGGCTCACAACCTATTCCTTCCACATTGTGTTTTGTTTTTGCATCTCTGTCTCCGTCTTAGACTCATGATCTTAAAGAACTCATGACCAAAACAAAATGCTGAACAAAGAAGGAAACACGTTCTCCAGAAACACTTTACAGTATATGAATCATTAACACACTCGCACCATGGCCTGGACAAGTCTAAAAACACTTGCCCAAGCGGATGGTCCACGGTCACCGTGGAATGGATGTGTGATGGGTTTGAACCGTCCCTTGCGGCAAGGGTCACTGTCCATTCCCCACTCCTCTGGATTTGCTCATGTTGAGAACGGAGATTTCAATAGGAAAGTGTAGAGGAAAGAGCTTCCGATTGTTTCCTTCTAGGAAGATGATTTCCTGTCCCTGAACTGGTTTAGGGGAACGAGCTCTCAATAGATAGACCCTCCCCCAATTTTGTATCTGGTGGAGTGGATGTTGACCGTCAAGACCTCAATTCAATATATTTACACAACAGGCCGGAGGGTTTCAAGTTGAAATTGAGGCGTTGGAACCCTCCAAAGGGTTCGTTTTCTGCCCGTCTTCCCATAACTTTATCGATCCGAATGATCAACCAGCACCGGAACAAAGAAAATGCACGTTGGCTTTCACTCACCTCGGCTTTCAGAAGCAAGGGCGGGATTGCTTCCAGGAACAGCCCCTGGCCGTGGGGGACGTCGGGAACCGGTCGGGACCGGTGGAAGCCGGTGACGAGCGGAACTGGTGCAATCACTGGTGTGCAACAACTGACAAGCTATATATACAATCGGGAATGCACACAGGTATCAAGTCAAGTTATGTATACATGTACAATTCGTTCAAGCGAATGGAGAAACAAACAATCCGGAATTCAATGCGGCAAAACAACCTTCAACCTTCTGTTTTGTTGGTTGTTTTGGGTGTGTGCTCTTCGGTAGCAAGATACTACATAATATAACAATATAGATTATAGACTATATATACAGTATTAGACTGTGCCTGCTTCTTTCATCGTGCAAATCGCGGTGAATCGCTTATGTCCCATTTCGTGTGCCAGCTCGTTCGCCCCACCTTCGTCCGAGGCGGCGCAAAGTCACTGCCTCTGGTCGGTCTCGGGCGGCGGCGAGAAGGCATTCCCAGAACGCAACTGTGGAAGAAAACAGTCACATTCAGTGGATAACCATGCAAAGTACTGCAGGTCACCAGTGCGGCAACCAGTATATATCAACATCAAACCTACCATTCACCTGGGAAAACCCTCATCAGATCTCATGAGATCGGATGGGAGTGGCCATATAACAAAACCCCGCCATTTGTGCCACCTCATCTTTCGCAACCACGTCCGACCGCCCACTGATACTCCTATATAGGCCTTAGTCAGCCGGACCTAATAATCTACTGTATACAAATACACGATTGGATGTTATCTCTTCCAGGGCCGCCATGATTGAGGCTTCCAATCTGCTCCTCGTGCCCAAAGAAAAGCACTTCGTTGGCACTTTTGGACACTTCGTGGCGCCTCGTGGGAGGGTGAGTGGGGCTCCGCTCCTTCCAAAACGCACCAACAACAAACACACACACCCACACAAATCTACCACGGCTCCATTAATCGCAGAGAAAAAGAGGTTAAGGGTGTCCATGAACCACTCGTGGGTACGACCAGGACCGGAACTGGGTGTCCAGTTTTTGGCAAACAGAGCTTCTTGTTCCTAGTAGTACGGCCAGGAGCCCCTAGTAGCTTCTTGTTACTAGATGTTACTAGTAGCGATGCCCTTCACTAATGGTCCATGCGCCGCATGGGGAGAAAAACCAAAGCAGCACCCTCTGGCCCATGCGCCGCAGGCGCCGCATGCGCTGTACCTCCGCAATGAGTCCTGCTGCTGGTCACTACCAGGACTGAGTCGCCAGTGCGACACATGAGATCCCACCGTCTTCCCCAGGATGCCCGGCACAGGACGGCTTGGAGGACATCGGACAGGAATTTGCAAAGCCTCATGGAATCGAGGTTCACGGGCGTGGGGTGATAGCTAGCAGGCAGGCTCAAAACGCACTTATATATAATATACTATATAATATACATTTTTCTTTCTCATGTGCCAAAGACGGTCGTCCGCGGCCGAGTGTGCATTAAATTACTAATTGGCATTCGGGTCCATTCCGCAATAGTCCATGCCCATTTCAGCATCTAAGTTGAACTCACTGGTAAGCTCATCGCAAACATGAGTAAACCAGGAAGGCACTGGCAGGTCACTTGCGGAACTGGGCTGGCTGCTCACGAAGATCTCCCCCAAGACCGAACAAAAGGCCTCAGGGTACTCCTTTAAATGAGCTGTCTGCCACGCCCCTTCAACATTCTTGCCGATCGAGGTAGCCTTAGGCACCTCTGAGCAGCGTGCATTCAAAAGCATCTGCTCGGCATTATCACAGACGTTCACAAGCATGAGCTCCGTTGGTTTCGCAGAAGAAGCCTTATAGTGCCCCTGCAAAACTCGAATCTTTCGACATGTGGAAAAACGGAGCAAAAGTCGCAGGATGGCCAATTTCCAAATGGAAGGCTGACTCAGATCATGCAGATCCTCTGCTGGATGTTCCAAGATCGCTGTCTTGGATGTCAGCGCGGCCAAGAAGAGCATCCTGATCGCAACGCCCAGGAGTCGACTGCCTAGTCGGACTTGGCGGTCCTCCTTCTCGGTCAGGTCAAGTCGCCCCATAGGGCGTTCGACTTGTCGAACTCGCCGAGGACCACTTTCTCCTGTAACAAGCTGACGGCCCCTTGCTCGACTCCACGTCTCGCACGGGGGTCCGCCGAGGAACCCCCAAATGACATCCTCACAGAAGGCTCGCTTGAACAGTGCGTAAGTCTCAGCTCGACACAAGTCGCCATAGGTGATGTGGAAAATAATGTCGATGCTGATCGCTCGAGCACCCAGACGTTCGACTGCTTCTTGGAAATCGCCTGGCCTTCTTCTTCCAGAGAAAATATGAGCAAAGATAACTGGACAGTATTTCGGGCTTCTTACAGGGACAGGAGGAAAAGCATCCAAAAGGCATGATTCTTTTTCGATCAATTGGACATAGTCGATTTCATGCTCCTTAGGAGACATGAACTCCCCAAACAACCAAGATCGAGAAACCGCTTTGTCAGCCTCTTGCAAGGCCAAAATTTGCTGAATACTTCCCTCTTCAGACTCCTGAAGATGGTGCTTGAAAGCTTGGATCACAGTCTTCATCTCGTCCACATAGAGAAAGCTTGATCCCAAAGAATCACGAATGATCTCCTTCAGGTCATCTTGGCCAACTCCTGAACGCACCACTTTAGCCCAACAATTCGAGATTCGGAATTTTTCTGCATCAATAATTGGGTCGAAAGGCATTGCTTCACTGACTGGCTGCACAGGTCCTTCTGCCTGGAAATAAGGATCTGCCATGTCCCGGTCATTTTTGCGTTCAATGCGACTGTTCAGTCCTGGTGCAGGATCCAGCATGCAAGGTTCTACCGCGTAACTTTGGAGGCATCGTGGCTTTCGCTTCACGTGATTGATCAAGTTGATATTTGACGAATAGTGTTTCAGGCATCCTTTGCACTGTAGTCCTTCAACATAGTGCCTGGCAAGATTAACTCGCCCATGGCACTTGAAGGAGTGAACAGCTACTGCCGATTTGCTTGCAAAATCAAGCCTGCACTTTGCACAAATGAACTCTTCATGGGCCCTTGAAGCCACATCTCTACCAATCAAACCTGCCTCAATCAAATCTACCACAATAGCCTTATGCCAGTCCCGCCATTCATGGAC